CAAAATAACAATATCGCTTTAAAAAATGAAAAATGGTTGCTATTCCTACAACTTCTTTCATCTTTTTACTAATGTAATAACGTGTCAAAATTTGCTTGACGAAACTCGAATATGACGAAGAATACACTCGCGTAATAAAAAGAGAGTGTTGGTCAACGGTCGCGGAGCAAGCATAGCGATCAGGCGACCCCTAAAACCGGAAGCCATGGATCTTTATTAAATCCACGAAATTTATGTCGTGGAGGTCGCGTGGCCGACGAAACGTGCGCGTTGCTCGAAAGGGTATTTATCCCTCTCACCGCGTTTCGAGCGCGTGATCCGCACGTTTGCGTTGAGCAAACGAACGTTGACGCACGGCCTTCCCTCTCCGCCATTGTGTCGACGTGCACACACAGGTCGATAGTATATTGCGTTTTTTCTTCTTGTCCCGGATAATGTCTATGCCCCCAAAGCGCGACGCTCGTCAAACAAATCGTTCCTGAATGTCCGTTTTAATGAACGTGCCATTCGATTTGAACGCTTACTGGACGCCTTCGGCGAGATCAGTACGAGTTTGAGGATTTATCCGGCCGATGTACCGCGTTATAGGGCTTGGAAGAGGAATTTTCTACTTTACTGTAGCGAACACTGACTCGCAAAATTCTTAGTCACCGCTAATGTGCCATAGAAAACTCTTATGTCCGTATCGTACGCGCTATCGTATGAAACGCTTTGAAATTCCATTAGCATCGTAGCGAGACACGACTGCAGAGATTATATACGTGTAGGTTCAATTTGAAACCCGTTTAAACACGTATATTTCATATCGCTAATATTCAATTGGTAAGAAGATGGTTACGATGATTTATATCTACTTGTGCAAGAAGAAGGAAGTCTTTTATTACGTCAGTAGACTCGAATATTTAGTGGTAATTTTTTATAATAAATTCTCGTTTGTCAGTTATATACGATTTATCAGGTGTGGATAATATTTCATCGTGATTGTCCCATGGAAAAATTCGACTGAAAAAATATCTCTTCCGATAGTGGTACCGAAAAAAAGGAAATTGAAATGAAAAGACTGGCTGGTAGCATTTTATACGTTTTATTATCAATTCTTGCTGCAGTAACGCAAACGATCGATCGATATCCATATCATTATCCATCTGTTAACCGCTTCGTCTCATCAAAACAGGACGCGCACTTTATTTACGAAATAAAAAAGATAACGCCATGGTCACGATTTCGTTTCGTAATAGCTTCGGTGAAAAGGAATTTTTTAATAAAAGCAAGGCGGAGCGTCTATAATATAGGAAGCGCGGCAATTTAAATGTATATACCTTGACCTCTGGAGTCGTAAGTCGACTGATATCAGCAGACGAGATCTGGAAACGCGATCAAGGAGAGACAGAGAAGAGAGAATTGAAGAGAAGAGAAGAGAGATCGTGGGCGTCAACTCGGGAAGTGGATATTTGAGAAAACGTAGCAGCGGCATAAACGAGTCGGTGTATCCAGCAACGGAAGTGGCCCCCTAAAGATAGCAAGGACTTTAATTACACGAGGCTCGTTATCATTGCGGTACAAGCGCGTTGCACTCGAAGGAATTTCGAACGCACCACTGCCTTCTCACCGATAAATACCTCTCTAAATCCATAATTATGCAACGAAGATATTTACCAGTGTTCTTGCAGAGATGTCATCTTTCTCCTTCTTCCTGGTTCTTTTATTTTTTCTCGTCTCTTAATTAGTTCTTTCTTTTCATTCCCGCTTTTTTTTACACTTGAAGGGTAACCACGAGTGAAAGTTTACCGCAGCGTTTTTTTAATTAAAACCAGGCGAACTCTAGCCGTCAAAAGCAGAAAACAAAAATAAATTTATCATGTTTTTCCTTTTAATTAATTACAGCGAAGGCCTTAAGGAGAAAGTTAAGCTAGTTAAATTCACTTTGTTGTTGAAAAATTAACACTGATAGTAACGCTAACGATAAGACTTTCTAAGTGAACATAAAAAAGGGGAATGCTTTTAATTCGACGAAAAGTATTGACAATTAATTCATGGTACGAAAAATATAAAATCGATGCGGATATGGTAGCTGAGTATAGGTTTTAATTCTCGAATTGTCGGATGACAAGAGGAGGCAAAATGGAAGCCTCTGTTAACGATCATTTCATAGAGGACGCGATGTTATCGCTTAAATATCGATAGTCTCGTGTCAATCGATCTTCTCGATGCCAGGCTGACGCCTCTGGGAAATTTAATTTAACGCTTCGCGAATTTCAGACAGCGGAACGTTGATTCTTTCTAAACGACGAATCTCTCGTGATATACTCCTTTCTCTTACGGATATTACGATGTCTGACAAAGTATTCGACTTCCAGTTCTTGATTTTTCTTTTTCATGATTGTTTTTGATTTGAGACCGTGTATCGAAATAAACAGATTATTTATAATTGGCTGAAAAAGTGAACTCGCGATAAAAAGATCATGTCATTTAAGCATAAACTCTGTAATGCGCGTAACTCAGATTGTGTGTCGCAATATGGAAGATTTTATTCATTTCCGTCACTACTGATATAAAATAGCAAGTATACAGAATTTTGTTCAAATATACATAAAATTTATCCTACCTAGCCAGAGCGACAGAGATAGTCGAGCACTGCAAGAACGTGGAAAAATACAGTTCATCGCTTGATACTGAATTTAAGAAAAAAACATTCATCTATAATTCTTCTCTAATCGTTTACGCTTAGCGTTGCACATAGCTTAAAAGCATCAAACTACGATATTCTATATAGCATATGAAAAATGTAAAATATAGAAATATCCTAATTTATAAAATCTACTTGTAGAACTTCTTTTATCTTTAAATTGTTACTCCTATACGAAAGAGAGTATTAGCACTGATAAAATTTCATTAACGATCTTAATTCAATCATGGAAAAGGCGACAAATAAAAATACGAGTCCTACATGGCAAAGTGCGACAGTCAGCTTCCAAAATATCATCGACCGAAAACAGCCGCCGAATTTTTTTTAATGCCAGAAATCTGAGAATAGGTGCTTCAGGTAGGTTAGAGTTCGAACCACGAAGTTGTTCACACATACCTACATATATGTCCATCGAATCGGATATTTGTCGTATAATCTATTAAATTCGCATTCGCTATCGATTCCTCGCCGCGTGCTTTCAACGTCAACCGCGTCCTCTTTACGGTCCTTCCCTAACGACCAATATTATCAGGATGATTTATTTGGAACTTTTCGAGTCTGCATACTTAGGTTATTACCGTCATAAATTCGAAACACGTTCTCCACGGTTGATACCATACCTGACCTACCTCATCTTGAAATATGAGAAACTTCGCGGAAGTCCCCATAAAATATTCCCTCCGTCCTCTTACGTTTTTCACGTTGCTTTCCTTTCCTAGTTTAACCGACCTGTTATTCCCATACTACATATATATACATATATATACAATCCTACCACATTTTTGGTGACACGGAAAAGTGCCGCTAAAGAAGGAAATACTTCCTACGATAGTATAAATATTACGACAAAGAACATTTTTCTCCAGTGAGTCGGATAATTTTGAGAGGGATAGTAGAGGATCGAACTTGCATCGTTGTCACGTAAATTGCCTTGTCCCAAGCGAAAGCTCAACTTTTGACCGCAGCAAAGCAAACTATCGCGAACTGCGGTGCAACGAGATAAACTGTAACTCCTGCCGCGAGCCACCAACGAAACCGATAGCCCGGTATAGTTCCAGCTATTTTCCAGCTTGCCGTTGCAACGGGTTTCTTAATGCTCTGTATCGAGAAACGCATTTGTCTTCCAGCGTTCCATTAACGAGGCTCGTTGCCCCTGTTCGATTTAGATCGCCGTTTGGCCGCGCGTCGTTTCACGTTACGAATCCACGTTACCATAGACGAACGATAACATTCGAATAGAGTACACCGATCGAATCGTCTCGACATCGTGTTTGCAAATTTCCCTTAATTGTTTTCTTGTCCTTAGCTGTTCAATGCGGAAGGATTTCTGTGTATTTTTATTCAAAAAAACAAGTATTCTATAAATTTCCGTTCTAAACGCCTTTTGTGTTGGTTCGAGTTGATGCTTTTTTCGAAATTTTTATTTCAGATGTTCCATTATTCTGCTAATATTTCTTTAAACGCATAAAAATTGCAAGATTCGAGATCTATGTCCACAAAATATATCGAATATTTTTAGTTCATATTCTTACAGCGATAAAAGGATCTACGTGCAATAACAAACAGTTAAATTCATCAAATACGTACTACAGTATCTATATGTAAAAACATCAATATGACGATGTCATCGTATTTTGTACTATTCCATTTGCATTCCATACTTTTATGCATAGTCTCTATGATTTTAGTGCAATAAAGGGAATCATACCACTACTTATAAAATGCCATACCAAAGAAACATATAAATTCGCAAATGCTATAATAACCATAAAAGCTATTTATTATATGCATTATATTTCCAAGAAGCGTCTTTATCTAAAACCAGAACCAGCACATTATCTTACACCTAACCGCAGATAACACAAACGAGCCTTTAATCGTGCATAAAATCAGCGCAATTAACGCAAACTAATGAGCCTTATCAGATGCGGCGAGGCTGTCGGATTTTTTGGTTCCCGTGAGCGAAGCAACAGCTAGTAGGAGCGGTTTACAGTGTGTCGCGCGTCCACGGAGTGAAAGAGGGGTGGTTTTGGAAGGGGTTGGATAAGAGACGAATAGGGAGCGGAGAGAAACGAAAGAGAAACAGAGAGAAACAAGGAGAAACAGAGACAAATAGAGAGATGAGGGGAGGAGGAAGGGAGAGGCAGAAAGAGAGAAAGGAAGAGAGAGAGAGAGAAAGGGAGGGAAATGGAGAGAAAGAGTTGGTTGGGGTTTAGAAGGGTAGGGGATGAAAAGGTGGGAGAGAAGCGGAGAGAGCTCGAGAGGGAGAAGAGACTGGTGGAAGGAAGAAGGATGGAGGATGTCTGTCGTGGCAGAGTAGCGGCGGTAGTAGCATATACGGCGGTTTAACTCGCGGGGAAAACTCTGAGAGCACGAGCTCGCGATCCTCAGTCGCGTGTGACACGCGGCCTAGTACGCGCTCGGATCGCCATCCGGATCGTCTCATTTGCGTGGCCGCGTCGTGCTCGATCGACCTCGAGGGTCGTTGATCGTGGGAACTGACGGGAACAGTGCATCTTGAGAGTACTCAGACTTTGTAGAGTCGAAATTGCCATTTCTATATTTATGAGAAATTGGTTAAAATTGAATTCCTTTTACCGATATGATATTAACGCAGGCTGTGGATGTTTTTGGTTTTATGTTCGATAGTTTTATCGACAGAGATCGATAGAGATCGTGGATCGTATTCTTGAATTCGAGTCTGAAAGATCTATGGGATGCAGCAACTGACGAAGATCGTGAGCAGTGGATATTTTTGGATGTTGCGGGCTCGAGCTTGGAATTTTTATTGACAAAGATCGTGCGGATCGTGGATCCTGGAAATTTATGAATTCAGGTTTGAAAGTTTTATAAGACGGGGATCGTGGATAGTGAAGACGTTCTCGAACTTTATCGATTTCAGATTGGAAGAATCGATGGATCGTAAATATCCTTGGATCTCGTAAATTCGTGTCATTGTTATTAAAACCGACGAATACAGTTGAAATCCTGAGTATTCGCGAATTTTACAGACTCGTCTTTCGAATACTTCTCAACGCAAGTTGAACGCAGTCGTGGACATTTTTGGATTACTTATTTATATTTTTATCGACGTTATTGGCAGACATCGAAAGTCGTGGTTTTAATGGAACCAATGACATCAACGAAGCTCGTAGATCGTCGATATTCTGGACTTTGGTTGTCCAAGTTTGACATTTTTAGAGCTGATAAAACTGATAGAGATCACAGATCGTGAACGTCCTGAGATTTTGTGAATTGAAGTTTGCCGTTGGAGAGTTTGAACGTTGAGCAACGCTTTCGCGTTTGGAAAATTTAAGTCTAAAATACTTTTGTAATTTCTGACTGATACTCGCTCTTGTAGATCTCGAAGACACTTAAATATCGAGACTTCGAGACGGAAAATTTTATTACCCAGATCGATTAGTAGTCAGAAGACACGGTACAAAATAAAATAGCGATTTTATGAGATTCCACGAATACGAAGCTTCTTTCCAACTGAAATTTTTAATATCTCCGAATCTAAGAAACATACCGCAACGTATCTTTGTAAAACTCTTATAAATTTTGAATAACTGTGCATACTTTAAAATCACGATTTACTGCGAACAGTGTTTTAAACTTCGTCCTGTAAATCCAAGAAACTTTTACGTCTCAACAATTCGCAACTAACACCCTACATAAACAAAAACCACGATTTATTTCATTTTTCACGCTGCATCTCGCAAACTCGTCTCTCTATTTGCCTCCACCGACTCAACAAACTCGTACTTTCCCATTAACGAAGAAAGCAACAACGACAAAGTCCGAGTGTCCAAGAGAAACCTTCGCAAAGCCCCACGTAGCTTCCGGAAAGGACAACTTCGTCCTTAGAACGCAACGCGCGTAATTACACTATCAAGTATAGCACTGTAGGGATCAACGTAATAAACTAGGAATTAAATAGAATATCGTAAGAATCGACAAACCGCAGATTGAAAATCGAATTATCATCGATGATTATCAAAAAAGGAGCGCAGTTGTTCCTTCAGATGCAAAGATCAAACGGAATATTATAAGTATCGATACAGCGGATTAAAGATTTACTAATACGATAGATTAAATATCAAACATTTATAGAGATCGATAAAATAAATCGAGGATCAAATACAATACCACAAGGGCAAATAAAATAGATCAGGGGTCAGTCAAGCACGATACAACACAAGGATCGGTAAGACATTATCGGTACGATCAATCAGAGATTAAGTAGAATACTAGAGGGATCGATAAAATACGATCAAGGTTCCCAGCGATCGCGAGTGATCGACGAGAGAAGGCAGCTGTTCGATCGAACGAAAGGAGAATTATAAATTCCCCGTCGAAATTATAAATCCCGCGTAGACGATGAATATTTCATCGAGGGCGAGGTGAAACACAGCGGGCCATTCGTTCGAAAAACGATATCCCGGTCCTCTCGAAGGATTTATAACGATGCGCGTGAACAGGCCGGATAGAATCTCTCGCGACGTCGCGCGTTTGACGATCGTTGCAGGTGAAACGAGAAACGCCGGAACCGGAGGACGCGTATAAGAGGGACGTAGGTATATACGAACCGGATGGAAACTGCAATCCGGACGTTTGACAAACGATAGTGCCGGTAACGTGCTACAGGAACGATCCTTCGCAGCTCGATTAAAAGAAAACACATTGAAACGGTGTGTCAAAACTTGTATTACTCTTTAGATACTCCGTAGCAAATTTCTCTTATCGAAACTTTTAAACGAACACGTTTAAACAGTTCAAGGGGAAGGAAACAGGTTGATACACATGTGTACGTATCTAGGTAGGTTTCTATAGTTCTCAAAATTTTCCGGAAAATTATAAAGTAATTCATAAAATTATTGAATTAAATAAAATAAAACAGTGTTTTCGCCCATCGTTCGAGAAGAAGCGAGCATATCAAAACAGTGTACGTACGTAAACCTTCGTCGCACTTCGAATCTTCGAATAAAAAATTCCAAACGAAGACGCGCAAATCGAGTCAGTAATCAACTGACTGAACTTAAAACGCGTTACTAAATCGCTGCAAGATCCGCGCGAATCGCAGCTGTTTCTCGAAGCGGAACATCAGTCGAAGAGCGGACTAACGAAGTGAAGAAGCGAAACGAAAAACAAAAAGAATATATAAGAAAGAAGAAGAGAAGCAGCTCAAGATTGAACATCTTTTAGATATTCCTCGGTCAACGACCTCGACGAAGTGAATGTTTAATCGACGAAGGAACAAAACTACGGATCGATCCAAGATCATCGCATATCTAAGCGTATTGTACAAGAAGATCGCGATCAAACTGACAGAATTTTTCACTTCCTTCCTGCGCCCTATCGTTCGATACTATCGAGCTCCTCTTTCCCGACAATAATATTCGTTATCCTACCGAGATTGAGAAAGTCAGCGAGCTTCTGTCGAAATTGGATTGAGAAACGACACGAGGCAAGAAGTCGAGGAGCTGGTGGCGAACGACGAAGCGTGACTGGGTGCCGGAAGTTCCGTTCTCGACGCCACTTTTGCCCGCGATGAGAAACGGTTTCGCGGAACGTGACACGCTCGACGAATCCGCAATCACGATGGAAATATCATATAGCGGAATTTCGAAGCGATCGACGTCGCTTCTTTGAGAAAATACAACGTAGAACGGAGAGAACCGATAGTTAGAGGGAGAAACCGGAAACGGAGGATGCTAGGATCGATCAGTGCCGCGTAAACGAAATTTGACAAGTGTATAAGACACAGTGTGTTTCCGTTTCGACGTTTTTGGTGTGGAACGTGAAAGAAGAGGCAAGAATCATGAGGGATAAATTTGCATTCAGCGTAAGTGCTCTGGAAATATTGGATTCTGCGTTTATTTTAGGAGGCGAGCGTGACATCGATGCTGGTCGATCGATCGCTCCCAAGTTCTATGGTAGGAACTGTTGCCTGTAACGTCGAGGTTCTAGAATTAATTATAAAGCTTCCTCCCAAGTGTGCGTATTTTTAAAGGGATCAAATATTGAGCAGGTCAGAGTAGATCGACAAAGGGAATTGTCCGATACAACTGGTTGATTTATTGTTGTAATTATGTCAGATGACGAATATCTTACCTGTGTATTTTTATCTTGAGTTATTTCGTTCTACGAGATAATGTTTCATGAATCATAGTTTTATCGTAAAATGTTACAAGTACATTTTTAAAAGTTCGTACTTTTTTTTTAATATTCATTTCTACTTAGAAAGTTTGAGGGAAACCTTACCTTAATTAATCATGACACGTGATACGCAACCGGTTTTCCAATTTCATATTAGCTACCAAATCGTATAGAGGAGTGTTAATTACCGTCAGTCAAACGGATAATGAGAACCGTGTGAAGCGTGATAATGTAAAATGTTAGGATACCGATAAAACATAAATTAAACCCCTTGATCGTAGTATGAGTTACTCATCTCGATGTTACGCGTACAGGCGAAAGCCAATAATTAAAGTTGATGCGGGAAATATCGTATAGATATAGATGATGTATTTATTCGGTACACATCGCGCAATTTCCGATAACTAATAATTCCACGTCTACATATTTACAATTTTAACTTCTTCCGCTATGATTTTATTTACACGCAATCGCGAATTTTAATCTGTTTTCGTTTTCCGTGCGCGTTCAACGATATCGCATCGATAAAAAATATAAATCGCGAAAGCTTGCAGTTATTAATTCTTTTCCTTGTAAAATTGATATTCTTAAATCAATTAAATATTCAATTACAGTACGACTTACAATTACGAATACTATTAATACATTAAATAAGTAATTAAAACATTGGAAGATTTTTTAATATACATATATTCATAATACATAATATTTATGATATATTATGACTTACAATTTCAATTATAATAGATATATTCGATATATAAGCTATACAAATTAAATTCATTTCTTCCTTGTACGGGATGGAAGGAATCTTATTGCTTCCTAAAATATATCTATATGAAATGATACAAATGTATTTATAGTTCATCCTTTAAAATCAAATATTTAATGCAGGGAAAATTGCATTTAGAATGACATAATAGCGATGATGAAATTAAAATACTAAAATGCGCTCTTTTCCCTATAAATGCGTACACAGCGCCCACAGTATATGATCAAATACAACACTATTAAGACAGGAAATAATGATCAATAATCAGCTTATCATTCAACAAATACCACTATAAGTTGTTTTCAACCAGTAATACACATTCGGCACTCATGTCAGCTATTATTATCATGCGTATTACCCAACATTAATCATAAAGTGATTCGATTCTGACCGTGTCAACGGTGATAACGTGATTTACAGTCTGGGGTGCCGGACATGCACGAGACCCTGTCCAGTTTTTCGGAACAGTTCAGGGACGGACCGCCGAAACCGGAAATAAAGCCGGAAACAGCCAAGGAGTCGGAGAGGACGGATGAACCGAAGTGTGGTTGGTTCTGGTTCAGGCCCATGTATCTGCAGCAATTTCGGACCGCGAAATGGGCGCTTTTCTGGTTATGTTGGACAGGTGCAATGCAAGGTAAGCGATTCAAATTTGATTCCCTTCGAGCAACAGGAGAATAAACCCATGTATTTGCCAATTTTGGTGCCGGGTAAAGGAAAGTCCATGGAATAGCAAATTTAAAAAGACACTGTAATCTAGCAAGGTGTATTTATATTTAATAAGAGCGACGAATAAATGTAATTTATAGCACTGAATAGGTAACTGTTGCCGACATTAGAATTGATTTTTAAGTACTATTTTTAAGTACTACTTTGAATCATTTGAATAAATCAGTTTTTTTGGGAGGGACGGGGTGATTTTAGCAAAGAATTAAATAAATCAAAAAATTTTTTTCCTTATTATAATATATTGCAACTTTTCCGTATGTTCGTAGTTGTCGACGGTTGAATTTGAACATTCTGAACATTGTGAAACCCTTCTAATTTTTGTTTTTATCTCGCGCGTCTAAAATTATTAAAAACATAATAATAAAATAGGGAGGGCCAGGGGGCACCCGGGTTTGAACCGGGGACCTCTCGATCTGCAGTCGAATGCTCTACCACTGAGCTATACCCCCTCGTTAGAAAGCTACGAATAATCAGAATTGATCAATGGATTATCACTTTATCGATTGAAATCCAATTTTAACAACGCTATTTCTTTTTCGATAAAGATATAATAGATTAGTAAAACAAGATCAAGGCTGTGCAATGACAACAACAGAAATAGACAGGTTCAACAAACTGATTTGCCTGAATCGCAAAGGGTTACTCGTAGTTGTTAAACGTAATGTAACAGACGTGCTTTGTAATCAGTCGCCACAAACGCGTCAAACACCCCTACCAGCGATAAACTGCGTGTCCACGAACGACGTATCGAAAACGACGTATCGAAAACGACTGGACTGCAGATCGAATTTGAAAACCCTGTCCATCATAAACGCGACATTTACCAATATACCATCAACCAACTCGGTAACAATATTCTCCAAACCACAGTGAACAAATCCATGCTGATTTTTCGGTATAATTCAATGTACAGTCTCGTTCATAAATATTTCCACACTTGCGATCTAATCGAAAAATTAAACATTTTTACTATATCCATCCAGGTATAGATATAAATTATTCTTTATTATTAAAAAATTATTTTTAATAAATCTTTCATCGATAGTCCGATCTGAGATAAGAACAGAGGCCAAGATTAGATACATCGTCGAAGCGTATTTAGAGGCTTGGAATTTCGCTTTTGAAGTATATTTCACGTATTTACAACGATTTGGAAGTGTGCAAATAATTATGAGCGATGGTGTAGTTAATGAGGCAAATATATAACACATACGTTCTCCATAATTTAAAGTTCAAACGAAGCTTTATATAATACACATAAACATATATGATATGTTTAATAATAAAGCTTCAAAGCGTTAATGATCTCCTAACAATAATCGTTCCAAGTTCTGATTTTCCTTAAGTGTCTCGACGCTTATGAACCTGAGTGTACATAAACACACACAACATACACGCATATAGTAATACAAACACGTAGCAGCTGATTGACTGCTATATCGCCGTTTGGCGTTACTAATAGCGGTGCATTCGAATGCAATTTCGAAGCTTTCACGGTGGCACGAGGGGGTCGGTAGAGGGTGAGAGAGGTCGACGGTGACTGACGATAACCGGAAATCGAGTTTTCCGGACCGGTGGCAGGAGGTTGACGGGCTGTTGCAGGGTGGGACAACGTCGACGAAAGGAGAACACGATCGAGGCGAAAAGGGCGAGTTGCGACGACGGGACGAAGGTCGTCGACGTTGGCGGGAGGGGAAATGAAGAAAAGGGAGAACGCGGTAGTCGTGCGGGGTACTTAGTTTAAATAAGTTTGTACGTCCCCCTTCTTTGACAAGCGACAAAAGAAATCGTCCTGCTGGAGGTTCGTGCCTTCTCCAGTGGGATTGAACAAATTGCTGGACAATGGACTCGACAATCGTCTATATAAGTCGAGAATAAGTTCGCCGGTGACTAAGTACTGGCGTACGAGCGTGATACTCGTGCATACTTCGCTTACGTGGATCCTGGTGAGTTCGCTGTTATAACCGTGTACGCCAAGGCGTCTATAAGTATCGAGCCATTTGCTAATCTCGTACGGAACAATAATAATCGATCCAGATTTTGTTAAAAGTGAGGTTACTTTTTGTCAAAAAAATACGCCCATAAATTCGATTTATAACATCTAACGTGAGTAACGAAAGTACTCGAATACTCCTAGAAATCTTTTGTGTATACGTGAAAGAGGTCTGAAAATGTTCGAGTATTTTCACGGGCAACTGTATACACGGTATAATGTTCTCAATGAAATCTAAATTTAACCTGGATATTCAAATATCCGATAATTAAGTAATACTCGGAACTGGTCCCTCTCATACCATTCTACCAATGTCCATCGAATTAACGCGTTCACAGACGTTCACGAACAGAAGCAAGGAGACCTGTTTCGAGTGTCGACATATCCGGCGTCTGTCCACCCGGAAAATGAACCACCTTTGTTTCCCATTGTACCGCGGCTAATAAGAGAATTTTAATTAAAGCCAGAGCATCAGTCGTGTGCCGTGCACGATTTGCTTCTTCAGCTACCGACTGACCCTGTTTCTTTCTTAACCCGTATATATAAATACACACACATATATATAATTTATCCGTTCACAAGTATAAGAATATTGACGCCATAGAAAGATAACGCTAGCGTGATAAACTATAGCACAGCTATTAAACGACGTTTGGAAGTTTGAAGCGAAAAGGACTCGTGTATTTTTTGGCCTGTACAATAAGATCTTTGTAAATTGGTTTGAAATATACAGAACGTTAAAAGACATAAATTGCAAAGGCACTCAGAGAGAATAATGAATAAAAGATGACGATCGAGGCGAATAAAATATGATCAATCGTTCTAACATAGGTTTCGTTGAAAATTACAGTACAATTTTATCTTACCAATAAAAATATTTAATAAATTTTATATCACTACGTAAACCTTTCAAGCGAATTTACATATACAGCAAATTTAGTAAAATTCTACACAAAATTTTATCGCAAAATTTCTCCACCTTACAAAAACGACTCTCGGTTTAAACCACCTCTCTCAAAAAAGCTCCATTCGTTAAACCGAATATAAAACCAGAAGTAAATAACTACGACTCTCTACCGAAACACAACCGTCAAAAGGAGAATCTATGTTGCAAAAATCTCGAGCAGGGACCTGCCACTCTCTTCTCTCCACGTTTGAATCTCGCAGAGAGAGAGAAGATTGATTTTTGCGATTGTCAGAGATGGTTCAACGCTTTTGTCAAACGATACTGTACAGCATGGCCACCGGTTTTGTAATTCAACGCCCTGTCAACGCCTGTTTGTTGCATCGAACGAACGAACGAACACTGTTCGATTCAGAGGTGATCAGCATCGTGTATATTCGTGAGAAAGAAGTGTTTAATAGATTTACGTTCGAGAGAGCGATTTCTTCGAGGGTGAGCGGACACTGAATCGAGCAGAGGGGAGATCGTAATTCAATTACTTTAGCCCTTCTGATTCATTTACACCCGGCACACGAATTTGCTTCGGTGCATCGGATACGAACGACACACGCGTATCGAAGATCAATGTTGTTCCGAATCTGAGAACGGGGACAACGAGATCGGAAGGAGTATTATCAGGATACTCGAGTATTACTATCGATCGCTTTCCTGCCGTTTTAAGTCGGCCAGGATTGATAAAATTCCAGATACCATCGGTTGTACGATGCTTTCCAGTACGGTGCAAAATAGCCCACGATATATGTAGCTCTTACAAGTTCGGAATTGGTTATTTCGATGGAAAGGAAATTGGATTTCAGTGCAGAGAGGAATGGATTTTGGAACTTTTATAAATTGAGTCAAATTAAATACAGCGAGCGAAGTGAAAATTATAGACGTTGAAACAACTTCGATAATTATTACATATTTCTTAAATAAATCTTCCTAGATTACCTAATAATACATAAATAAGCGGACTACGCATTCGTTAGAGAAACTATCCAACCAATCGGCTGTTGGTGATGATCAAACGCTTCATCGATTCAATTGTATCGCTCTAATAAGATTCTTCGAAACTTCTATTACGTAATCATTGCGCGATATACATATAACATTGAAGGAAACATTTCCCACCTCCATACGCAAAATTATATGATGATTTCTATGAGAATACATATTGAATTTTTTTAGACGAGCCAATTTTGCAACTTGAATTCGAGCAAACTCGAAATTACACTATTATCACTAAGCTGAACTATCATTTATTTGTTTCACTTCAAGTTTTTAAGTACCAAAATTGCTTGAAACCACGTTACTACCAACGTGTGCCATTTCGTTTATTTTGCAATTTCATTTTATTAAAATCCTACGCTTTTCTTTTAGGTATGGTGGTCAATGGTTTTGTGAACGTGGTCATAACCACGATAGAAAGGAGATTTGGTTTGAGGTCATCGCAGACGGGCTTGATAGCGGGCGGATACGACATAGCTAGTTTCCTTACACTCGTTCCAGTGAGCTATCTAGGCGGCCGTTCAAAAGCATCGAAACCGAGGTGTGTATATATATACATAAATACATATTTACACTAGACGATACCACAAGTTAGGAGTTTAATGCATCTATAAAACTGATCAATCTTCTCTCAATTTTTCTCACGAACAGAATTCTTCTCTAACTTGATTTCTTATTGGCAATTTACTATACATAATTTTATATACATAAATACATATATTCACTAGACGATACCACAAGTTAAGAGTTTAATGCATCTACGAAATTGATCAATCTTCTGTCAATTTTTCTCACGAACAGACCTCTTCTCTAACTTGATTTCTTATTGGCAATTCACATTCCCTAGTTGTATCAATCTTGCAGCAAATCAGTGATGCGTATGCGTACAAATATGTTCAGATATATACCTCACACATATATGTATAATGTATATATATATACGTATGCACGTATACAAGGTATTGTCTTGTCTATTAATATTAATGCCGATATCGGTTCACCCCGACAGTTCTCATAAATATTAATCCTAACGTCAGCCGGACGAACAATGTCGGTGTTAATCTCCATTTCGCTTCTTCCCTTCGAAACTTTCGTGCCCTCATCACCCTCTATGGTATGGGCTTAATCCTAAATCGATAATCGATAACACTTGAAAACAAACAGCTCAACAGCGTAGCCTCGAAGCTAATGTTCCAACATAAATGATTGTAGCGATTAGGATTTATGTAATTTAGTCCTTAGATACTTGAGTTTTCTAAATAATAAAATAACGCACGTTGAAATTTCAAATTTCCTAGAAAATGAAATTGTCGGTTTCATCTCTGTTTGACAGGTACATAGGCATAGGTGTTGTAGTCTTAGGCTTAGGAAGTCTACTTTTCGCGTCTCCTCACTATATTGCTGGACCATACAGAGGCGGCCAGCAATCGGAAAATATATGCCAGAGGGTGACGAACACATCGTCCCGTTCGGTAAGTAATTTTACGCAACTGTTAACTAGTTTAATAGCCCAAAGATCAGTATTTTCTCAATTGATTTTCATATTATAGCGAGAGAAAAGCTCTTTAAATAAATTTTTGAAAATGCAGTTTTTCTTCAACATTAGAATTTACTGCTACAAAGATTTTATAAAAAAGAAGAATTTAAAATTTAGCACGAGAAAAGTGACAAGCAATAATTATTGCAAAAGAGAAAATAAGGTAGAATAGATCATTGGTAATTATTGATAAATTCATGTTCACTATTATTACGTGCAGGCTGACTTAATATTTAAATAAAAGCACACAATAATAGCTTGGAATATTAACAATTGATGGAATATTAGACATTGACTAAGAACAAAATATATAAATGGGAGGAGGTTCTTTAAGAAGAAACTTATTCTTATTTTAATGTGATAATTTTATACTGTTTACTACTTGAGAATCAATTACTAGAGGATACGAGCTTGTGCCTTTGATCAACGAAGAGTAAAGATTCAATTAGGAGTAAGGAATAGGGTTTACTGATGGATGTCACCCTTTATATTGCAAAATTCCTGTCTTTATAACATAATCCAATTTTTTTTATCCTCAAATATCAAAAATAGATGTTAATTTTTCTATCATTAAATATCAAATTTAATTCCTTACAAAAAATTCGAAAGTAGAAAAAATAATAACGTAAAAAAAAAACCGAAAAGAAAAGAAAAAAGATCGTGACACCACGTTTTACCTTTACCTTTCAATGCATCTCGGTTATATGTTAATGAACATCCATCAAACTTTCAAAACGAGAAAATTACTACGTCAAACGTAAATTCCTCGAAAAAAGATTAATCTTAATAATGAAACTAGCCATTCTACAAAAAGAAGCTTCTTACACATACAATAAACTTAATCATCTCCATAATCGATCGAGAACTTCGTGGAATCGTTACTTTTTCCATCCTATAATAAAAAAATCCACTATTGCGACGTAAACGGTGTATAATCAACTGACATTTTAAGCGTTTCATTCTTTTTATTCCGATTCTAATACAATTTGGCATTATGGAGAAAAAGATCAGACATACTTTTGGACTATTCTCGTTTGCTGATTAAATTACTCTCAATTCGCTTCCTCGACATTCAGCTATCCTGTAATGGATCCGTGGGCCAAACAGACCAGGAACCATACAGCGGATTGTACTTAACTATCTTTCTGATGGCCCAACTTCTGCACGGGGCGGGTTCCGCTCCTTTCTATACGCTCGGCGTTACGTACCTAGATGAGAACGTGTCGAAAAAGATGTCCTCTGTGTATGTAGGTAAGAAAACCACGTCTGTCTGTTATCGTCTTTCGGAACTATTAAAGCCTCTATTACTAAAAAGAAGCTAAAGCGTAGTTAAGTCAAGTATTATTTGAGAAATATTGAATCATCGACAGCGATTATGGGATTAAATTCAATACGTAGGTACATCGCCGCTGAAATTTTGAAATCACTTTTGATATCTACATTTTACGGAAATAAATAAAAGATATAATAAAGAAAAGAGGGAAAGAAAAGAAAAAATGTTAAAAGCATTACATCTTTTCCTTTAAATTTTTGGTTGCATCGCGTTACATTCACAACGTATCTTTGTTCTGTTTAGGAATTTTCTACACAATGGCCATAATAGGGCCTGCATTAGGGTATGTTGTCGGAGGCGAGTTGTTGAAGCTGTATACAGATTTTATCACCGTAGATCCGTCAGAGTGAGTCTGAATACAAATTTTTATAACTTACAACTCGTATACTAGCGTCATATGCATGGCTTTTATGCATGTCCATAATGAATGTTATGCCCGCTTTTCAAAACAATTCATTCAATAAAATATAACGAAGCTATAAATAAATTGAATCTTAAAAAATATATATATACAGATACACACGTGTATGCCATTATACAAACTTCAATCTGTAAACACGATTCCAATTTTTCGCATCGGAGAGAGTTTAAAATTAACGCGAACAAACAAAAAATCCCCTAAGGTTACTTAATATCATCGTTTAGCATCACCTTCCACACTTTGAGCACACGATACTAACTAAAAGTTATCGTTAACCCTAAATTCTCGATCGCGCATCTCCTCGCGTTATCACGGGAAATATCAAAGACAGCGCGCAAACTACCAACTATTCGTTGATAAAAGAATGAAAAACGATAAATTACTTCTAGAAATTTTCTTCTCCTATCGATTCATTTCTCTCTTTCTAAATCGTATCTCGTTGCACCTTGAATAATGTTTCCGTACTTCTAAATGAAACACGAACGTTTATTAATTAGATGCGTCCTTTTAACTTCGACCATTACTCTTTCGAAATTGGGCAAAAAAATTCTCGCGACAGTTGGCCGTGTTTATCGGGGGAAGAGCATCGATTCATTTCGAGGAGTGGCTTTCAAATAAACTTTCAGAAGAAACTTGCAAGGATTCTAAATTTACTGATGTCCATTCGGATCGTCCGCCGCTACGAGAGGCGCAGTTAACCGTGAAATGTGAATGGGGATCCTTTCGACTTTTAATTTCAGTCTCCTTCTAACCACTTCTTGCTCGTTCCTCGCCCCCGCCTTCTCCTTCTTTTCTTTTGTCTTTTCTGATGCAGGCTGTTATCATAATAATTTCTTGGCTCCTTGAGCTTTAACGGGAACGCAGCCTGAGCTTGATTTATTAATCGGGGAAAAATGGAAGTTCCCCGGAAAATGATTACTCCGGAAAGTTTAGTGGTTCGGGCATTTTATCGGTATGAAACAAAAGTAGAAACACAGGAAGAACGAAAGGAAGATTTGTTTCTGCGAGTTTGATCTTCTTTCGAAATCGAATTTTCCTTATTTTCAATCGATCTTCTTACTTTACTTATGGATACTTTGTATAAATAAATATCCATAATTGTATAATTATTAGTTGGTAATTTATCACGTGAAATTCTTATTATTTACCGTAGGCGATCTTATATAATATTCTTCGATCTTAAAATCTCAATTCTTTGCCATCTTAATTTCTATGCAAGTTTCGAACTTCTGTCGTCCTACTTTATCTCCAATATTTTATATTGCACACACAAACATTCCCATTCTAATTATCGCTTACACTCTTATGCGAAAACGTCCTACAAAGAAAAACCGTTTGAAGAGTTTGGGAAAGTTGAAACGCGAGAAATGCAAATAAAGAAGAAAACGCCACAGAACCCTGGACGTCGACCAAACAGAAAATACGTAGAGCTCCGAATCGATAGCCCGTCATTTAAAAGTAAAATACGCGAAGATAGGACCTCGGACGTTGGGAATCTTTTACACGGCCGACAACTCGATTTACTGTTCGATGCTCTCGGTGTCATACACGTCTCCGTTTGCGAATAGAAAGGATCGGAAGCGGGGAAAAAAGGCGGGAAGAAGGACAGCGAGCAACGATTAATTCGATTCTCACGTGCATCTCGTGGAGGGGTTGCTCCGCGGGGGAAGGAAGTGTTGCAGACAAATGGAACTTGATTGTGCTCCAAGTGTCGGGGGATGAAGTGATACTTTTGAAGGGTAACATCGGCATCATCCTCAAACGTTGGTTCACCGCTTGACATTTTCCCCACGGGCTGTGTACGTGTACGTGTACGTGCGTGCAACCGCGTCCATGGGGTTACATGCGCTATTAATCGCGGCCCATTATACGCTCTAATGGTCCTCCGAGATATTTTCAACGGGGTAGAGAGCAGATTGGAAACAAAGATTGTATTTTCTTCAAAATTTCCGTACCACCCTGCGCAGTTCTTGCTTCGTAGAATTGAAAAATCGGCTGTCGTATCGTGTAACTGAACTGAAGATTATGTATTATCGACTTTTGTTGCGGCATTATGGCAGTTCTGTGTCATGTACGTTGTTTTCAAAAAGCGTTCCTTCCACGAAGGAAAAAATTAAAATTTCAAGAAGAAAATTTACTTCAATACTTTTTCATGGTTATGTAGTTTTTTTATTTCTCAAACTCTCTTCCTCTTACTCCCCATTGATAAATTAAACTAATTTCCATGAAACCGAAAAACCCCATTTCCTCGTCTTCCAAACTTCACCGAAAGGAATTCGTCTGCCTCGTGAAAACTAATAAATCAACGGAAGCAAAGATTAATCAATTAATCCCGTGATACGAGACCAAAAAAAGAGCATCGACATCGGTATCCTCGTTATCGTTTCAGGGACAAGAAGATATAATTAAGCGATGCAAACACGTTTGAGAACGTTTGGCCGTCGTAACGACAAGCTGCTGCTCCTCCTGCGAAGCTTCTTTTCAAGGCCGTGAAACAGCAAAAATAGATGATAAAAATCCGATAGCCCGTGTATACCAGCAACATCATCCCTGTCCATTAACTCGATTCCTCTTCGGGCGTTATTCGTGCACCGTTTAAAACAAGATCTCAGCCATGAAAATTCTATTTCCACGATCCTGTTCCTCGCTGGTTTACCACGAAATCTTCATGCCCGACCATTTTTCACTGCCTCTCCCATCCCCAACCTCGTGTCTCGTCTCCAAGATCTCGCGATTAATTTCGAAATTCTGCGACGTGGATTTACGTACGTGTAAGATGTAGGAATATAAAGTTCGAATTTCTTACAACACGGTGTAAGATGCATCTGCAATGTGCTTCAGAGAAACGTGATTCACTCGTATTTGCGTACTACCAGTTGTCGAGTGTCAGATTGGAAGCTTCTGCGAGTTTGCGATGCTGGTGTACAGTAACATGTTTTTGCGAGCGTTCTTTCGGAAAGTGGTTTTCCTCTTTATCTTTCCATGGTTATCGTATCTTTAAGCTCTATTTACTGTGTTCCAGAAATTTATAGTTTTAACCCTGCCCCGGTGCGTATCATTCTTCATGCCCCTATTTCGTTTCAGCAATTTATATTCGTAGAATTTGAGACATTTTCTAGCGATAGAAAAATGAGATTCGATCACGATTGGCTCCGAATAACACAGCGATGTTCGGTTAAGCTATTAATATTATTTTATGCGTTAAATATAACTTGCACTGTATCTCACTTTACCGTTTTTTGAATAGGAGATCTCCAACATTCCTACGTCGTAATCGTAAATTTCCTTGTATAAATGGTCAAGTAACAGCGAGTATTGTAGTAATGCTCACATTCGGCCCCAAATGTTGGACAGATCGGGGCAAACAGCCGATAAATCCTGGCGGGAATTTAATAAAGTTGCCGTGACGGCCTGGCTAAACGCACCCCCACTCTTAAAGCGGTGGGAAAAAAGCGGGAAACGCGTTTAACGCGTAGCGGCACGAGAGGCGACAAATTCCGATGGTGAGCCCATTACGCGTCATTCCCCATCGGCATTCGACGACTATGAACCCCTTTAGCCGACGTAAAACGCATAATGAACGCGGACAACTTTCCAGCCATTGTCCGTCCATCGTAATTCTTCCTTGCAAGTCGTGCGACGATCCTCTCTTTCCACCAATTTTAATGTTCTCCAAGCGTTTAAGGTTCAGCAGATGGATTCTTTTTCGCGAGACTGCGCGTACGATTTCGCGGAAATGTTCGAGAATGTTTCATAATGTATTTAATGGTTTCGAGATGGAAATTTGAAAGGTCTTTGACACTGGATCGAACCAAGGCTTTTCCCATCTTCTGTTATTCGACTCTTCGTTAACTTTAACTTACGATTAAAATTACAATTAAAAACAATCGGAGGAAATTATATAAATATCCGAAATTAGTTAAAATTACTTGTCTGGCAGGGACTTCCATCTTCTTCCAAAATTCTTCTAGGTTGAAATCTGAATTTCTTCGAATGTTAATCTGTCTGGAAATCTAAAATTTCCATTTCGTTAGAAATTAAGCAGCTTATCAAAATTTCTTTTCCATTTCTCCGTGTTTCTACCGACGAACAGATTGAACATCTGGAAGTCATAGCAGTCGAGTGTCATTTAAAGATCAGTTACGACTGACAGATAGAAAGAAAACGGGGGAAAAAGAAGGCTAAACGGCGATTTCTTCGGTCGGTATAGAGCAGTTAAGTCTGCTAAGGGATGATCGTGCAGTTAGTCAGCCGTTTCCGGGCAATCAATCACCTCTTCCCAGTCGGGTTTTGCCAGGAAAAAATGAGCCCAGCCCATCGGACGTAGCAAACGTAACTCCGACGGGAAAAAAGTTACGTAAAGCCTCTGCTAGAAATATTCGTTTCGTCAATCGATAAAATATCCCTGTTCGTCATATCGAATTGATTCAACGTCCAACATCATATTTGCTGATGATACTAGTTAAATTTCAGATATTTAGAGAAATATATCGAGACTATGAAAGAATCGGAGAAACGTTGTTCGCTTGAACTCGATTCAAAAATTAATCAAATTAATCAAATCAATTGAATTTTGATAGTTTCCATCTTTTCAAATGGATAATATTTCCTTCCTGTCGTAGACTTTTATCATATGCGCTTTCGGTTACTGTCACGAACGTAGAATTATTCATTTCAATTATTCACCTTATTGATTCAAATCGGTTCAAAGCAATTTTGATCATCCAACATCCCTACCGTCATTTTACCACTATACTTCGTACAATATTTAAGAGTGAATTACTAATCACGAAGCTTAAATCCAGTCATCTATTTGACGTAATCCTCAATTTCGCACTATACATTTACCTATTCGGAAGCTAGTTATCACAAGCTTCAATAATCGTTTTAACACGTCTGTTTTTATCGATAAAATTCATCGAGAATATCCCATCTCTATCGACCAACCATCGAACAACATCCTTTGTCCAACATCAACTACGACGCGCTTCCCGGTTGAAGCCTGCTAATCCTCAATTTAAAATTCGATTCTCGTAACCGCCTAAACGGCGGAAGTTTTACGGCCGGGTCGCAACAGGATTTACCGAGTTTTCCGCAAACTTAAATTGCGTGTCGAAGCGAACGCAATCCGATAATTTGCAAACAGAGAGAGGCCGCTTCGTCCCTACAGAAACCTCGAATAAAAACAAAGGGACGAAAACGTTTGTCGAGAGCTAATAACATTCTCGCGAGTGCAATTACATTTTCCTTCCGATTCCGCTGGATGGAGCTGAATGCAGCTGAATGGAGCTGGAATGGAGGAAAAGAGTAGAGTAGCCGTTTGCGTTACGACCACTTCCGGTTGCAAGCTCGCGTCTACTGTAGCAGCTTAATAGCCACTATACACCGTGGACCTAAATTCCTAGTGCAAGTGAAACCCAGGATACGCTATGGCTCGAAAGAAAATCAAAGATAGTGAGACTGTCTACTACGGTGAACTACATATACGTTTTATAACAATCAATTAAAATGGTCTCAGAAGGATCCAATCAAACCTAAATTCCTAGTGCAAGTGAAACCAAGGATACGCTATGGCTCGAAAGGAAATCAAAGATAGTGAGACTGTCTATTACGGTGAACTACATATATGTTTTATAATAATTAATTAAAATAATCTCAGAAGGATCCAATCAAAATTATGCCATCTTTCGTGATTCAACAACTGCAAATCGATCTATCGAAAATAACGTAATAACAATGACGTTACTCCTTAAAAATACTCCATTTAAAATACTCGTTATAATATCTCATGGATAAAACAATTCTCTATTTAGAATCCATCTTGTTATTTATGTGCGCGAAGATACGAATTTTCATAAAAATCCGCGGTCTACCGATATGCGTAACACAAAAATTACTGTGTACCGTCTTATCCTACAGTACGACGTATTTTTCAGTTTTATTTTCACTCGTAGTCCCTTATTTTTCTTGTACCGTGAATTTAGGTTCACGATGTATGTGGCTCGTTTAATTTCGTAGTGAAACAAAAGATTGGACGGCAGATGTTGGTTCGAGCGCGACTTGCCTCCGAGTACTTTTCATAGTTTTTCGCTTTCTCACCTTCCGCTCTCTAGACTACGCTACGAATAGATTATGCTACATATTGCAGCGTAATACCGCGATTCTCAAGGAATTTGCTAGGCGGCGAGCTCGGTTATGCTCGTACGATGATGATGGCGCATTGTACGCCGTGAAGGAACGGATGATGAGTGAGAAACGTTTTCAAAGTACTGGCGAGGTTAGAGAATATTGCTCGTGCTAGACGTCTCCCATGAAAAAATGTTTAATAGCAGTGTTATCTTGTTATTATCGATTATTTTTATATTACGTAAGATGATTCATGAATTACGAATGCAGCATTTAACTTATTGTCGCCCTAATAGCACACAGCGTATAGCCAAATTTCCTAACCAAATTAGCAGAATTTTTTCGTAGATGACGAATCGTGCAGGCCGAACGAGACTTTTGTCCGCGTATCGGTTTAGAACACGAGGAGAGGAGAACTTCCGGGCTCGTTGCGCGGCAATTAGTCGGGAAAGTTGCAGAAGCTCGGTCGGTTGGGAATTTCAGACAGTCGCGCCGTGCGGCGCAATTAAAAAAGCGCGAGGAAATCGGCCAGTTGCGCCGGAAGTTCCGCGACGGAAGAGCAATTCCGGCCTACTCACCCTGTCGTGCTTGTCGTCCGCTATACTGTTCCGAGATAATTACATTTTTTCCCCTGGAATCCTTGCCTGCTCTTTTTTGTTTACGCGCGGCCTACTTTCTACCGCAGTTTCGTTTAATATGAATGCCGCTTTAAAGCGTTTAAAAAAGAAAGAATTGACCCGTTTCGCGGATATTAGCAGTGCCGTCGAGCTTCCCTGTTTCCGTTTAAAACGACGGCTAACTACGTAGATCGATGTAAAGTTTGGAAGGCGGTGAAAATTCGAAAGAAGGATCAGTCGGTTGCAGTGTGTGTTCTATATATAATTATTAATTCTATATAATTTAAAATGTTTGCTAATTGTAGACGATATTTGTTCAGGATTGGCTTAACACCAAACAGCAACGTATGGGTGGGAGCATGGTGGATAGGTTTCCTAGCAGCTGCGGTTATATGTTTCGTAATTGCTATACCGATCTTGGCGTTTCCGGCAGCTTTACCTGGTATGTCAACTTCAATTTGGAAAAGACGTCGCAAAGATTTTCCCTTTCTACAATCTGGAACTAGTAACTTAAAATACACATGTGTAAGAAACAGATTTGTAACGTTTGACGTTACAGACGTCGGTTTTGTTGTTACGTACTAATTATCAGAAATCAATTTCATTCTGTCATCGTATTCGTTTTACACGACTGTAATGATACTAAAGACTAAAATCATACCAGTCGTTCTTTTCATATAATTTTCTAACTAAACTATGTACTTGCCAAGATACGCAATAGTCCAAATATTTCTCGCTAGTGGAACGTTAATCGACTCTTCAACGATGACACTCTTTTCTCAGGTTCGGAGAAATTAGCCAAAGAGCGGGTGTCAGAGGCGCATCAGAAGCCCGAGCAGCCGTCCTCGAGCGATCGAGGGGAGGCGTTCTCGAAAATACGTGAACTACCTCGTGCTCTGACCGATCTGCTCGGTAATCCAGGATTTTTCATGTTGAATCTGGCAGGTGCCAGTGAAGGATTGCTTATCGCTGGTTTCGCCGCGTTCCTGCCGAAGCTGATCGAAAATCAATTCAACGTCAGCCCTAGCTCGGCTGCGTTACTAATGGGTGAATAATATTCAAACATTCTGTTGTAATCAATCAAAAAAGAAAAAAGAGAGCGAGAGAGAAAGTCGCGTGACTCTCGTCCATCGTAACGCGTAATCGTCGACATTTTTCGTCAAATACTCGAAACATTTTTTATTCTCCTCTTTCATCATGCATCCTTTTTTTTCTTTTACTCTCTTTGCGCAACATAAAATATCGGCTGAACGATATGTTACCGTCAGATATCTGCGCGGATGTCGCAAACATAAATCATCGTCAACATTTTTATACAGCGTGTTTCAAGTAGACCAAGTTATAGCTTGATACGTGGAAGGTTGAAAAGGATTTCAGTAGGCAAGAATCAAATCATTTCAAATGATAATCGTAGGTAACATAAAAGTCAGATCACAAAAATAGACCTATCATGTATCTTTTTCCTTCGAGTCGATATTTCATTCTGACTAATAAAATCTTTTTTCCTCTTCTACCTTCCCACAGCGATAAATTGGCATCTTCGCGTGAAACATCCTGTATTTCGACGTCCACGATATATTTACGATTGGCTAATATTTCGACGTAATTTCGCGAAATTTCGGCACGACCAAGAGGACCTAAACTCGCGTGCAAACTGGTACTCGAATGAAATGGACCTCTTTTTATAACTGTTTTTATCTTTCCTTTTTGTGTGTGTTTTTTAGGTCTAGTGACTGTACCCGCTGGCGGTGGCGGTACCTTCCTCGGTGGTTATCTCATAAAGCGTTTTAATTTGCCGTGCTCGGGCATTTTAAAGTTCTGTCTGCTGGCCACCGCGTCGTGTATCGCCTTCACTTTGTGCTTCGTTCTCAACTGCCCGAATTTAAACTTCGCCGGAGTTACCGTACCCTACTCCGACCAAACCAAGTACGTGATTGTTTTCTATCCGTGTGCGCATTAATTTCGTTTATTTGTTTAAAACTAGCTTTAGTACAGTAGCGAATAAAATTGCGTATCAGAAACTCCATTTTCTAGTTGCTTCACTTCGCGTTCCAAACTAGCGAAAAATGTGACAATTTTGCCTGTATGCATATTTATAACTTTATCGATGATGTATGATATGTCTGCTTTTCGTTCTTTTTACGTTTATCTCCGCTTTCATTTATTTTTACCCATTTTCGTGTTTCTATACCTTTCGTTTTTTATGGCAGTCGAGAAAAACCAAATATGAGGAAATTCTATCTATTTATCATAAATTCTTATTACATCTTAATAATCTCAATAGAATAATGAATAATATCGCGACTAACTGTATAGCAATACTTGAGTAAGAAAACGTTGATTATTACTTCATAGTAGATTAATAAACTTTCTATTGAATACTTTCGTCACAATTCGAAGCGAGTGGATTCATGCAGATCTACTACTTCAGCTATATCCATATAAATATTATGAGAAGTTGCAAGAGATATAAATTGCTACGTAATTAAGAAATTTTACGTTTGCAGAAAATCTTTTTCACTGGACAGCACGTGCAATAACGGTTGCGGCTGCTCGAGGTCAGAGTTCAGTCCAATATGCGGAGTTGATGGGATCACGTACTATTCCCCTTGTCATGCAGGATGTTATCAAGGAACGAGGATAAATAACGTCGAAGTCAGTATGATTTCTTATCGCACTTAGTATGCAAACTCGTGAATGCCTAGCCTGTTTCTTCGAACTATATGTATATACATGTGTATATATTTTCCTTAATCTTCGCCTTGTTTTTATTGCTAACGTGCTATTTCAGATATTTCATGAAAGCGTAGGCTCGTTAGAAACTCATTCAGTTGCAAGCTTGCAACGTTACTTTATTATTAAACATTAAATTAGTATTATTATTTTATTCTATTATTTATTGGATCTCGTTCAAATAAATGTTCAATTCCTAATTGAAAAGGAATTTATCAATGTCTATTTTTTATTTATTTTATTCATTGTAAACGAAAATAGCTGATCGCTAATGAATGTTACGTTCGGAACCAATTTGTAGTCATTGCGTTAATATTCCCGTTTTGTATTTTACAGGTATATTCAGACTGCACCTGCATACGCGAGCCACCGATAAATCTGACCACCGGTGGCAATGTGATCAGTTACGAGGCAATAAATACGACTTGCAACACATCGTGCTCCTACCTATGGCCCTTCATTACTCTAGCGTTTTGCAACATGTTCATAACTTTTCTCTGTACGATGCCCGCGCTTTCAGCGACGCTTCGGGTCGTTCGAGATGATCAGAGATCGTTTGCCTTGGGTATTCAGTGGATTAAAGTTAGGATTCTGGGCACGATACCTGCACCTATGGTGTTCGGCGCACTTATAGACGACACTTGCATTTTATGGAATGGAACCTGCGACGGTGGAGGATCCTGCCTCGTTTACGATAATTTATACATGAGCAGGTACGTACGATAAAATAAATATATATATCGATATAAGTATTTGTTAAGATTTGTCATCGATCGTGTAAACATACACAACAAATTCCTGCTTAATCGTTTCTAAATTTATGGACTGATAGGAAATTGGACTCGTGTCAAATACTATTTGTACACTTTTATTTATGTAAAATGAATTTCTACTATTCAGAAATCGATAAAAAGTAGGATTGTATATTTGTATTTCTTTGTCTATATTTTGTTATTTATTCTATTTATTCTACTACTGTACAGACCATAATAATGTTTTTGTAATTCATCTATATACATAGATATTATTACTATGTAGGTTAGTGTATATGGAATTTCGTATCCATATAAAGATTACATGGTTCCAATTCCCATAAGAATTGACTTTCATTGTCAAAAACATTTACACTGTTTCAGGTACATGCTGGCGTTAGCCTTTATCGGTAAAGCAGCGTCCCTCCTGTTCTTTTTCCTGGCTTGGTGGACGTACATTCCTCCGAATAGAAGAGTTACACAAAATTCGCGGGAAGAACCAACAACGACGTTAATGTTAAACGATACTCAGCACGAAGGCCCAACCACACCGGCAACCATAAACCCTATAATCGATCCATAAACGATAATCTGACGATTATCTATGATAATCTACATTTAATAAGACTTTTCAATGTCTGTCAAACTTATCGAAGGAAACGATCGATTGAATGAGTTTTCAAAGCGATTTACGCTTGTTGCTGTTCCATTACAAGTAGATGACGCTATTTGCTGGTCTGTTAAAGCCAGTATCGGTAATGCAGAACCTAGTTTGTTCGATTTGGTAGGTACATTTTTTAATGGGAGATGTTTCAAAAGAATGTGTTAGCATATAGCTTTAATATACGTGTTTAATAATTCTGTTTATAGTTTGTTGTAGAATAACTGAGAGAAAATGTAAATGGATAGATAGATTATTTAATACTTCTACTTTATAATATAGGTCGTGCTTATAATTAAAGATCACAGGAGAAGAATATAACAAGTAACAATTCTCATGTTTTACAGTGGGATAATTTAAAAATTCAATACGTTGTTAATTTCTCCATTTTTATATAATTTTAGTATTAAATATGTGTATACGTTTGCCATTTCCTCGAACATTCCAAAAATATTGATCGTCGCGGAGCTTCGTGGATTTATTGGCTATTTGGAAAAGAGTTGTATCTTTGGATTTAACAAATCTTTTTCAGAACTATGTGAATCCCCTTCTAGCCGTAAAGTAGCATCAAAATTTGAAAATCGACACGAATAGACTTATCACGTTTTTTCCTGTGATCTTCCACCATGACAGGAAACAATTTCATCTATAGGTTAACTTTTAAGGGATTTATAAAAAGCGCGTTTATTTATTATTATTGTACATGTAGTAAGCGTAAAACAGATATGGCACATTCGTGAGGAAAAATCGATATATATGTGAATGTGACTCTGTAGCGAATATAACTGTGAAAGCAGCGAAACTCGAATATAAGACTATTTATTTCGAGAATTGTTTAAAATTGTACAGATACATTTATACGACTTGTAATAAGTAGAATACTTCTTATAAGAGCTGTTCACTGCCAGAATTATTGTAAAGAACGTATCGTTGTTTTTTAATATTTGAATTATCAGTATCAATTATAAGATATGATATGGGCAAGTGCACTTGTAGTCCTTTTCGATGTTTATTATGTATGTACCTTCTAACATGAAATAATTCATTCGTAAGGTTCTAATTTCAATACATAACACTAAGGATAGAAATAATGCTGGGTCTACGCGAGCTACTTGCGAACAGCAGTGTGGACTCAGCCTAACAGGATGAACATTCGCTTGATATATCACTACGCTTTCTGTACTCTTCTATAGAAATGAATAATCACAGCTAGATACTGGATCAAAGAAGACTATCAAAGCTATCTAGAATTGTATCATTGCATTGTCCTCTGCTATCTGATCTAAATGTGATTACAACTCGTGTAACAACCTATAATTATAACCCTAGTATTTACCGACCGTCAATTAAACCCGAAGAATGTATTTACCGCAGATGATAATAATCGATGTTTGAGGTAAAGGAAACTATACATCTTCGTCTTATTTATGCGATATACATATAATTGTTACTGCGACCAGCTGAACTATTGTATCACAAAAATGCCTCTGGAAGACATTGTTTTTCATAGAATTGATATACCATATTTGTATGATGTTATTGCTTGTATAAAAGACATAGTATCTAAAGGAAATGGAACAACCTCTATTGTGAATTGATATTTGTAATAGTATATACAATTATGGATATAGTTGCAAGTTCTGGTATCGATTTTAGCATATCCCTTTCACACGTTGGATAACCTCGATATATCAATTTGGAATTTTGTATATTAAGATTTTATATGTCGCCTTTAACGGAACGTTTTATTCAGAAACTCGTCGAGAACATCGGCACCAATTAAAAATTTCTAGAGGACGAATCGTACAAATTTTATTAACCAGTTTTTAAAAGGATATGGAAAATTTTCAAGCGGTAAAAGATTTTTATTGAACATTTTCTATGATTACAGTTCGTCGATGAAAATAAAACTGCTTGAAATAACCAATCGAGTAAATTTGAAATACGGGAATATATTGTGAAATGTTATTTATATCGGTTTGATACGAAACATTTTGTGCGGTTTCTAATTGTAATTATCTTCGTTATGATAAATATGTTTAACACGTGTATTGTACGCGTCACTAATAAAGAGCTAGTAAAATACGTTAACCAATCTAGTGTTCCTTATCCTTGTTATCAGTAATTTATGAAACTATAATACGATAGCTAGTAACATTTATCACAAAATTGTCCGTGAGATTAAATTAATTTCCAAAAATGTGGTAACCATAGTGGTTAAAATTGAAACGAAATTTTAATACTACTAAACTATATATAGGTAGACACACTCCGTAACTACTCACGTGTCAAGTAATCTCATTGTTAAAAGGATTTCATTGTTCTTTATGTAATGTCCGCGTTGAATAAGCTTTCATGCCATATTTTTGCATTATATGTCAAGAACGTCGCAGTTAATCTAATTTTTTCTAACTTAGAGTCAGAGGGATCAGTTCGCAAATTAACATACACATATGTATGTAAAAGTACACACTCGTCTGTGCTATAACACTAGTAATGGTCGGAATTAAAATGACACGCATTTACAGAATTATGGACTCTAGTCGACTTTTTGAACTACATACAACAAGAATCACAGCCAATCAGTTCGTATTATTTTTTATATAATTAATAATTGTACCACGTATAGTAATGCGATTAGTAATTATATATGAAATAATACCGAGGTTGCTGCGAGTGGAGAGTCACCCTATCCACGATCCCATCCACCCTCCTTTCATGCACAAAAATTTATTTGTTTAAAATATCAGTTTATAAAAAAATTCTCCTCTTAGTGTGCGATTGCAAAACGATCAATTCTTTTTGCTAATGCTAATCTTGAAAATAAAAATAAATTAAATCTTAAACCAGCTGTGTCCGACCAATGCAGTCGGGGTGTTTGGGCATTTTGTAGACGCAACACTACTTAACAAAACGCGATCATTCATTATCGCAACGCTAATTCTTATAGTGAATTTAATGAAAATTACTATTTACTATATGAAAAAGCTACTTTAAATATTCTGATATTGCTACTGGAAATACTATAAAATTAATTGAGAACTAACATTTTCTCAATCTAATTTTAAACAATAGAAAACAGGATAGATTCTGATACACATAGTTCTATAAGAAATTCTAAAAACTCATAATAAAAATTGCAAAAGACAATCGCGATATCGTAATTCGCAACACTAAAGCAAACACGATTATCATTTTATCGCAACTCTAATTCAAACCGTAATCGTTTTCTCGCCACACTAATGAAAAGCCGCGATGTTATTTCGCAACTCTAATACAACC